ACTAACTGCTCCCACTTCACCGGAATTTGCTAAGAGTTGATGGCTTTATATAAAGGGCTTGAAATTAAAAAACAAAAACCCCACAGTATATACATATCCAGGGACAAAGCAATCAGAAAATGGTCTTTCTTTTTCCTAAAGGAAGACCAGATAGGTCTTTGCTAATGCCAGATGTTTGAATTCTAAAACAATTCATAAACACACACACACACACACACACACACACACACACACACACACACACAGAGACACACACAGACATACACACACACACAGACACACACACACCCTTCATCGTGTACTTAACATATCATGGATCTCTAATGTTTTAAAGCTCCTATTTGTTTTAACATTTTATTAAAATAATGTTTGTGTAGCTTCATTTCTTTGCATTATCTTCCTTCTAATGACCATACGTACACACTACACACATTCACATACAAAACAGACACACACACACATAAACACAAGCAGAACCTATTTAATCCGGTGTCCTCAGCAAGGAGGATTTTATGACTCAGGAGTGAACTGCTAAAACTCCCATCACATGGAAACAGACACTGTAGTGCTTCAGTCTGACCTGAGGGTCTGGAAGCTTTACAGTTTATTAGGCAAAGCATTTATGATACCCTCATTTGCAGAGATGCTTCCATCAGAGCAATACCAAAACGTCCTCTGAACCAAGAAAATGGGAATAACTGTGAGCTTGTCCATCTTTGTTCTTTCAAATATAGCATTTCACAATTTTTGTTATCTATTGCAGAACCTTAGAGAGGCTCAAGTTGATGAATATCTTTCAATTCCTATTAAGATCAAGCTCAGCAGTCTGTACCTTGTCAACCATTATATTCACGAAGAGCAATAGATCACCTTTGAAACCTTTGAGAATAAGTAATATGGTGACTAGATAAAGGTTATTGTGCAGCAGTTGAACATTTAATAGAATCTGCTGGCAATTTAAAATAATATGGCTTTATATGTTCAACTTTTTCCCCCCAGAAACATAGACTGAGGTTGAGGATACATTTGCAGAGTTGTAATTACTGTACTTGAAATTGATGTGAATATGCATATGAAAGGAAAATGAGAGATGTTTTTCCCCCAGGAGAGAACCATTTTTTTCCATCACTACGTTTAGACTAAATAAACAAGGATACTGTTTCCTCAAACTTAATGCCATACCCTGTCCCAGCTAGTAACACATTCATTCAAATTTAGTTTTAAAGACAGACCTCCAATCAGCAATCCCAGTCAAGGTATTATTTCAATAAAAAGATTTTTTGAAGGGTGGTTGATTAAAAAATAAGTTAGAAGATATAAAGAATTAGGACAGTTAAAAAAAAAATCCCCATGAGATTTAGAAATGACATGTTTAAGGGCAAAAAAAAAAAAAGAAAAAAGAAATGAAGAAAATTAAATATTCAATGTTCAAGTATTCCATGAATGCAAAATTCTGAAAGATATTAACAATTAATATGACTTTATTCTTTATTTCTTCCTTGGATCAATCAGTTTTCCTCCATAAATGATCATAAGAGAATTATCACTTCCACAGATCATCTTAAGGCAGAGACTTGGTTTTTAGGGACAGGGAGGAAAACAATCTAAAAAATATTGCTTACTAGTCCTTGAAATTTTATACTTTACATTTATGTTTTTCAGTTGAGTCTTTTTCATCTGAGTCATCCCCAAAGCCTCAGTAAAAGCAGATTTACCTGGAAATGTCAGTACTCATTGAGCCAGGAGTTCTCAAACTTCAGTATGCAGTTGAAGCACTTGGTGGTGGAGACGCTTGGCTTCGGCCTCAGAAATTCTGATTTGGTGTGTCTGGAGTGGGCTTCAGGGATCCTCTTTTCTTTTTTCTTTCTTTTCAAAAATAATCTTTTTTTTTAAAGAGCATTTTTTGGTTCACACCAATAGAGAAGAAGGCACAGAGATTTCCTATGTATGAGAGAGGACCACCCCAAAATAGGAATTTATTTATAAAAAATTGTGTATTTATTCTTTCATGTGTCAACTTCAGTCACCTTCAAAGCACTCTCCATTTGATGCAGTCCACCTATTGAGACGCTTTTGATGCAGTCCACCTATCGAGACACTCAAAACAGTTTTGAACTCCTCGATTTTGATGCCTTGTGGTGCTTTGTGGTGCTTTGTGATGCCTTGTGGTGCTTTTGCCATTTGTGTGTGTGTGTGTGTGTGTGTGTGTGTGTGTGTGGCTTGCATTGTTTTCCTTTTTCTTTTTTTAAAAATATGTGGAGCACTCAGCACAGTGTGGGCAGGTGCACTGTACGGTCATCCATCGTGAAATGGGTAAATGTGTTGAGAGAATTTAAAAAAAAAGCTGATGATACTGATGGGTCCCTATAACACTCAGCTAGCGGGAGAAACCCTGTCCTATGAGGGACCAACCCTCCAAAAAATAATTCCGGTTGTCTTGGGGTCCTTCCACTTACTGCCTGCCCAGACATATGTATGGCCCCTTCCACTACCAACATTCCCCCATTTGTACATTTTTACAGTTGGTGTACCCACACTGTCACATTATTATCACCATAGTTTACATTAGGGTTCACTCTGGTTGTACATTCTGTGGCTTTGGACACATGTGTATGTGTCCACTAGCATAGTATCATACGAAATCGTTGTACTGACCTAAAAGTCCTCTGTTAACAAGATCTTCAGGTGAATTCCTGCCCTTGACTTCCAGGCCACAGTTACAAGCATATTTTTTAAAAAGAAGATAAAGAAGCAGAGAAGTAGTGAGGGTATAGCAAAGAACAGGCCGTAGGAAACAACATGAGGAGCCTGGCGAGTGTGGAGTGAATTTAGTGCTCATAAGGCAATACCTGAGGGTCCCGGAAAACAGTGACATGTTATTCCACCAAAGTCTTTTTATAAAGGCTATGCAAATTATGCACGGATATGAAACTTAAGTGAAACAATTTATTAATTAAAAAGGTAAGGGAGGGTATGGGTACTCCCTTACTCCCCGCTCCAATCCTCCCAATACACACACACACACACACACACACACACACACACACACACACACACACACACACACACGAAGCTATTCATTGCAGTTATTTGGCTCTCAGGTTCTAATTTTCCTTGTCCCATAGAAGACTATGGGTGAGGCTATTCTTAAGTATCCTATCTGTATGATATCTAATATCCTGCTGAGAGTGAAGAAAATATCAATAAAACCGGTTACTTGAAATTAGACAGACAATTCGTTTAACTCCTTGTACCCCTCAAACATTTACCGATTTCAACCTTTTTTACCGCTGGCTTTTGTTCAGGCTTCACTGCTGTTGACCACAGGCAACAGATTCCTCGAATATCGACGTCCCCAAACAGACATTTTGTCTGTGCTTGAGCCCTTTACAGTGGGAGTGAGTGAGGGAAAGCAGGCATTTCTGAGCTCCCGAACTCAATTTATCCAGAACGTCTTTAATTTGACCTTCTTTACTTAAAATTCTGTGACTTTAAAAAGTGTGAAGGCCCATCTAAACCATGGGGAGTGGGGAAACTGCACATCTTTCTTTCTACAAAAATGATAATTGCCAAAGAAATAAGCTTTCTTGTAGAAAATGCAAAAATAAACAACAAAGAAAATAAATATCAGGCATAAAAGAGATGCTTCCTGTTCGACTTCTGACATGTTTCCTTTTAGTCTTTTTGCTTGTCTCAGCGCATGTATTACATATATTTTAAAAACAACAGGGTATCATATTGTACTGACATTTTTAGAACTTGCTTTTCCCAGTTAACAATATTTTGTGAGCATTTTACTATATTAATACATGTTTTATGCATGATTTGTAATGGCTAAATTAATTTCCCAGGCTCTGGATGTAACATAATTTATTTAACCGTTTTTCTTTCTCTAGCTATTTAGGTGGTATTTAGTTGGTATATTTCTCCATATTGTAAGTAATGCTCCAATTAACAAGGTGAGACACAAATCTTTGTGTACATCTCTGATTATCCCTCAGGACAAATTCCTAGAAATGAATTTCTGCAACAAAGGTCATTATGCAAAACTTTAATGCTTTAAAGGCATATTGTCAGATTGCCTTCCAGAAATAATGTTGTAATTTACACTCACACCAGCAGTGTGTGAGTGACTATTTCCCTGAACCATTGCAGGGAGTTTTTATTTTAAGACATCTTTGCCAGTTCTTACCTTTTAATTTATGATGATCACAATTAATGCAATAAAATGGTATCTTTTAAAACAAATCCATCATTTCCTAACACACATTGCCCTTGATAATCAAATATAAAAATGTAGTTGACTGTTGGTTTATCCACTAGACTAGTGGTTGACAAACTTTTTCTGGAAAGGAGTAGATAGCAGATATTTTACCCTTGGAGGGCCATATGGTTTCTGTTGCAACTATTCAACTCAGCTGTTCTAGTGCCAAAGCAGCCATAGACAATACAAAAATGAATGAGCATGGCGGTGGTCCAATAAAACTTCATTTACCAAAACAGGCATAGGGTGGAGTTGGCACATGGGTCATAGTTTGCTGGCCTCTGTTTCAGGCATGATGAAAACTCATGATGTGTCAGCTACTGTTGTAGACACTAGAGCCTAGAATCTAGTGGGAGAGAGAATCTGGCGAGCAGAAATGATAAGAGAGCGTGACAAATACTATGACAAACAGATGCCCAAGTGCTGAAGGAATCAAAGAAGGGGGCAGAGCCAAGTCTCAAAGAGCAGGTAGGGGTTATTCAAGTAAAAATAGGAAATGGGGAGTGAAAAGTGGTGTGTGAGGCGTCCAAGGAAAATAGCATGTGCACAGACCCAGAAAAATGAGAACAAATTCCAGAAACTACAGGCGAGTAGAACCCAGGTAGTGTGGTAGGATTCTCGAGAGAAACCAAAGCAGTCTATCTGTTTATCTGTCTCTATCTCTCTATCTCTATCTCTATCTCTATCTCTCTATCTCTCCATCTCTCTATCTCTATCTCTATCTATCTATATCTAGCATAAGAAATTTGCTCATGCAGTTATGGAGGCTGAAAAGTCCCGTAATCTGTTGTCTGCAAACTGGAGACCAAGATGAGGCAGCGGTATAGTTCCGGGACAAGTCTGAAGGCCTGGAAACCAACAGCACCAATAGCGTAAGTACCAATTTGAGGGCAGGAGAAGACCAGTACACTAGCACAGCAGTCAGGCAGAAAGAATGAATTATTTCTGACTCCACCTTTTTGTTCTGTGCTGTTTTTCGGTGGGTTGGACGATACCCGCTCACACTAAGGAGGGCGATATTTACTCAGTCTATTCAAATGCTAATTTCATCTAGAACTATCCTCATAGACATAACTAGAAATACTGTGTAACCAAATATCTGAGTATTCGTGATCTAGTCAAGTTGACATGTAAAATTAACCATCACAAGTAGAAAATTAGTGGAAGACAAAGCTGAAGAGCTGGGAGGGTAAGATTGTGGAGGGTGCTGTAGCCACACCATGGGGTTTGCATTTGTCTTGAAGGTGTTGAAGATGCACGGGCTGATTCTAAGCCAGGAAATGACATGATAAGATTTCAGTTAAAAATATCTTTCAGCTGGAAGGCAAGTGCAGGTCTACAAACAGAAACATCTGGCTTTGCCCAACCCCACCAAACCTCAGTGCTCTGCTGAAGGAGTCCCCAGGCTGGGAAGCAAGTAAACATCCATGAATATCTTTGGGGCATAGCCTCTGGCTCTGCTCCTCCTGAGTGGCTCAGCGGTGACCCCAGAGACCTTGCCCAAATGCAGAGTCCTAACAGCAATACCACCTGGGAACCCAGGTCGCAGCCATACCTGACTACAGATTCCAAACACAATACCACCCAGTCAGGAAAGGCAGCCCACAACCCTGTCTGATCAGTGGCAATCGCAGAGCTTAGCCCCAGCTCCACCTGACTTCAGAGTCTAGCCAGTGGTCTCTCTAAACTGTGGAGCATAGTCAGTCATTCTAGTCGACTTCAGAATACAGGTCAACCTAGAAAACCAAAAGAAAGGTCTGCCTGCCTGAGGTCACCACCAGCTGGCCCATTTAATATCCCAGGCTAGACTAAATAGTAAAAGTCTACCACCATCAAATAATACCTTCAAAGGGCTAAAGAGGTGGCCATTTCCTCAAATGTGCAGAAACCAATGCAAGGGCACAAGTATTATTTAAAACCAGGGTAATAACTACCAAAAGAAACTAAAAATGCCTTTCAATAATGAACCCTGAAGAAATTGAGATCTATACAATGATTGACAAAGAACTCAGAATAATCTCCTTAATTCTTTAGGGAATTACAAGAAAATACATACAGGAAAATTAAATTAAATTTGTAAAACAACTCATAAGCAAAATGAGAAGTATGACAAAAAAACTTCAACATCCAGATAGTAAAACAACAACAAAACACATAGAAATCCTGGAGATAAAGAATACAATAACCAAACTGAAAAATTAAAAAACAAATTTCAAAAGCAACTTCATCAGACAGAAGAAAGATTCAGTGAGATCAAAGACAGAGATCAGACATTTGAAATTATCCAGCTAGAGAAACAAAAAGAAAAAAATAAAGCTTATGGGAATTATGGAACACCATCAAGAGAACTTAATCTTCATATAATTGAAGAAGAAGAAGATAGAGAAAAGTCCCAGACAGCATGTTAAAAAGTAATAGCTGAAAGTTTTCCCACGGTGGGACAGGATGACAACATCCAGGAACAGAAAACTCAAAGAATTCCAAAACATTTCAACCCAAAGAAGAGTTCACCAAGTCACATTTATAATAAAACTAAGACCAAGAAATAATTATTAATGCAGCAAGAGTTAAGAAACATCATATTCAAAAGAGTCCCAATACAGCTGACAGCATTTTCTCAGCAGGAAGTTCACACCAGGATGACATATACAAAGTTAAATAACTACCAATCAAGAATATTTTATCTGGTATAACTGTACTTCAAAAATGAGGAATAAGATATTTCCTGAGAAATAAAGGCTAAAAAAATTTATCACCACTAGATCTGCCTTACAGAAGTTATGTGAAGTTCTATAAGCTGCAATGAAGGACTGCTAATAGTATAAAACATGTGAAAGTTAAAAACTCAATGGTGTAAGCAATATATAGTCATATTCAGAATAATACTGTAAGGGTGGAATGTAGAGAAATTTAATCTCTACAACTATAAAAATAACTATAGCTACTAAATTGTTAAGAATTACAAATTTTAAAAGGCTGTAAAATTTGACATATTACATAGATGAAGTGTGGGGTGAAAGCATGGAGTTTTTGTATGCAATTAAAGCCTAGTTATCAGATTAAAATAGCCTGTTATAATTGTTTTATTTAAGCTTTGTTGTAACTAAAAAGCAAAAAGTCATAGTAATTGCATAAAATATAAAGAGAAAAAATTCAAACCATACCACCATAGAAAACCTTCAAACCACAAAGGAAGCCAGCAAGAGAGGAAGAAAGATACAAAGAATCTATAAATAATAAAAAAACAAATGATAAAATGTCAATAGCAAGTCTTATCTATCAATAATTACTTTGAATGTAAATGGATTAAATTCTCCAGTCAAAAGGCATAGAGAGCCTGAATGGATCTAAAAACAAACAAAAAACCAAAAAACAAATAACAACAACAAAAAAATTCTCAAAAAACCCAAACAAACAAAAAAATGAAAATTGAGCTATATGCTTCCTGCAAGAGACTCATGTTACTTGTAAGGGCACACATAAACTGAAAATGGGAATGAGGAAGAGATACTCTACACAAATGGAAACCAAAGAAGGACAAGGGCAGCTATATTTATAGCAGTAAAAATAGATTCTAAAAAGTCAAAAACTGTAAAAAGAGGCAAAAAAGATCATTATATAATGATAAAGTGGGCAATTCATCAAGATGACAAAACAATTAAATATGACATCTGACAGTTAAGTTCATGAATTCATCATAGAGTAAGTGCTGCACACCTCATTGCCGAATAGCACTGTGGTCACCTTTGTAGTACTCCCCTTGGGAAGCTATGCTCTGATGCCAGCACCTCGTCCACCTGTCAAAGCAATTTTGGAACTCTTTTCCTGGAACGGCCATCAGAGCTGTCATCATATTACCCTTGATGTCCTGAATGTCATCAAAATGTCTTCCTTTCAATATTTCCTTTATCTTCAGGTAAAGAAAAAAGTCACTAGGGGCCAGAGCAGGTGAGTAGGGAGGTGCTCCAATACAGTTATTCATTTACTGGCTAAAAACTCTCTCAAAGAAAGTGCTGAGTAAGCCAGTGCATTGTTGTGATGCAAGAGCTCCTTCAGGACCATTTTTGCACACCTGTCTCATGCCAAGATTTTCAGTTAAGATTTTTCTGTCTCTCTATTGTGCCTCATAGTCAGCCAACAATTTTGACATACAACTGGATGAATTTTCGCAATGTTTTTGTCAGTTCTATTCGTCACTGGCCATCTAACCTCTCTTCATCAGCAATGCTTTCTCTCCCCTCAGAAAAACATTTAATCCATTTGTATACTGCCATTTTCTTCATGGTGTTATCCCCATAAACTTGGACTAACATATCCCTAATTTCACTTCCGCTCTTGCCAAGTTTAATAAGAAATGTAATGTTTGTTTGTTGCTCTAATTCAAACTCTGACATTCTCACAATGACAGCTTTGATGGTCATTCCAGAAAGAGTTCGAAAATGGTTTTGATGGATAAACTAGGTGCTGGCATCAGTGCCTAGCTTCCCAGAGTACTTTGAAGATGGCCACAGTGATATTCAGCAATGTGTTATGTAGCACTTTTTCTCACATGAGCTTGAGAACTTAATTTTCATACCATATATATATATGTTTATATATATATTAGCATCAGAGTATTTAAATATACAAAGCAATTATTACATAATCCAAAAGAGACATAGACTGTAATACAATAATTGTAGGTGATCTCAGTACCTCACTTTCAACAATGGACAGATCATCTATTAGTAAGAAAACATGGACTTGAATTATAGTCTAGACTAAATGAATCTAATAGATATATAAAGAACATTCTATCCAACAGCAGCAGAATGCACATCTTTTTTCTCAAGCAAACATGGATCATTGTCTAGGCTAGACCATATATTAGCCACGAAACAAATCTTAGTAAGTTTAAGAAGATTGGAATCATATCAAGTACCTCTTCCTACCACAATGGCGTGAAACTGTAAATCATTAATAGGAGAACTCTTGGAAAAATCACAAATATGTTAATATTAAGCAACATGTTCCTAAACAACCAATGGGTAGCATCAGAAATCAAAAAGAAAATTTTAAAATATCTAAGGGAAAAAAATGGAAACACAATATACCAAAACTTAAGCAGGAAAAGAAAAGTCCTAAAAGGAAAGTTTATAGCAATAGGCACCAATATCAAGAGAGAAGAAAGATATCAAATAATCTAATATCAAGCCTCAAGAAAATGGAAAAAGAAGAAACTAAGCCCAAAATTAGCAGAAGGAAGGAAATAACAATCAGAGCAGAAATGAATAAAACAGATTAGAAAAACAATAGAAATAATTAACAAAGCTAAGAGTTGATTTTTTAAAAAGATACATAAAATTGACAAACCCCTTAGACTAATTAGAAAATAAGCAGAGAATATGCAAATAAAATCAGAAATGAAAGGGGAGTCACTATAACAAATGCCACAGAAATACAAAGGATCATAAGAAATTACTATGAATAGCCATATGCCAACAAATTGGATAAACTAGATGAAGAAATTCCTTGACACATACAGCCTATCAAGACTGAATCATGAAGAAACAGAAAATCTAAATGGACTAATGATGAGTAAGAAGATTGACTCACTAATAAAGTTTTCCATCAAAGAAAAATAGTCCTCGACTTTTTCAGAAAGAATTAAAAACATACCACCACAAAAAACCATCAAACCACAAAGGAAGACAACAAGAGAGGAAGGAAGAAACGAAGACTCTACCGACAACCAGAAAACAAATGATAAAATGTCAATAGCAAGTCCTTACCGATCAATAATTACTTTGAATGTAAATGAGTTAAATTTTCCAGTCCAAAATCATGGAGTGCCTGAATGGATTAAAACAAAACAAAGCAAAACAAAACAAACAAAAAACAAGAACCAACTGTATGCTTCCTGCAAGAGACTTATATTACTCCTACGGACAAGCATAAACTGAAAGTGAAGGGATGGGACAAGATACCCCACACAAGTGGAAACCTAAGAAGTGCAGGGGATGCGATATTTATATCAGTGAAAATAGATGATAAAAAGTCAAAAGGTGGTTACAGAGTGGTGAAAGTAAGGAGGCTGCGCCTAGCTCCTGCTCTCACGGTCATTGGGGTACATTGAGCTTCACAGAGACAGCCCCAGGGCAGGTGAGAGCCAGACCAGCACTGGGTCACTCTGTGCCGTGCTGAAGAAAATAACTAAACACGGGCAAAGGAGATCTCAAGAAGCCGAGAGGCAAAATGTCATCATCTGCAATCTGTGTGCAAACTTGCTGGGAGGAGCACAAGAAGGAGCACCCAGAGGCTTCTGTCAACTTCTCAGAGTTTTCTAAGAAGTGCTCAGAGAGAGCGAAGACCGTGTCTGCTAAAGAGAAGGGAAAATTTGAAGACATTGGCAAAGGGGGACAAGGCCCGTTATGAAAGAGAAATGAAAAGCTATGTCCCTCCTAAAGGGGAAACAAAAAAGAAGTTCAAGGATCCCAACACACCCAAGAGGCCTCCCTTGGCCCTTTTCTGGTTCTGTTCTGAGTGTCACCCCCAAATCAAAGGAGAGCATCCCAGCCTATCCACTGGTGACGGCGCGAAGAACCTGGAGGGAAGTGGAATAACACTGCTGCAGATGACAAGCAGCCTCACGAGAAGATCATGAAGCTGAAGGAGAAACAGGAAAAGGACACTGCTGCGGACCGTGCTAAGGGCAAGACTGATGTGCGAGAAAGGGAGTTGTCAAAGCTGAAAAGAGCAAGAAAAAGAAGGAAGGGCAGGAGGATGAGGAAGAGAAAGGAGACGAAGAGGATGAAGATGTAGAAGATGATGAGTAAGTTGGTTCTAGCGCAAGTTTATTTTTTCCTTATCTAAACAGTCTTTAACCCCCACCCCCCCGTACAAAGCTCACTTCTTTTAAAGAAAGAAGTTGAAATGTAAGGCTGTGTAATATTTGTTGTTAAACTGTACATTGTCTTTTTTTTTTTGGCATAGGTGACACACTTCCAAATGTGTCTTTAGATAGCCCTGTCTTGGTGGTATTTTCAGTAGCCACTAACCTTGCAGGGCACAGTACGGAGGTTGTAAATCGATGTAGAAATTTAAAGCAGGTTCTTGTTGGGGCACAGCACAAATGAGTTGTATATGGAGATGGTAGTTTTTCTCATCTCATGTTAGGCCTTTGTCAGAAATACAGTTGGCAAATATCTTTTCCCGGTCCGTGGGCTGTCTCCCTGCTCTCTTGATGGTTTCTTTGGCTTTGCAGAAGCTTGTTAGTTTGATGAGATCCTGCTTGTCTATCTTATTTCTTATGGCATGGGCACTTGGGGTTTTGATCAGGAATTGGTTGCCAGTTCCAATTTCCATAAGGGTGTCTCTTGCATTTTCTAAGGTTCTTATAGTTTGAGTTTTACATTTAGGTCTTTGATCCATTTAGAATTCACCTGGAGAATATTCTACTAAGTGAAATAAGCCAGGCACAGAAAGACAAATACTGTATGATTTCACTTATTTGTGGTTATCAAAGTCTAAGTGGTTGGGGGAGAAAACGGGAAGTTGTTGGTCAAAAGGTATCAGGATTCAGTTAAACAGGAAGAATAAGTTTTGAGATCTATTGCACGGCAGGGTGTCTATAGTCAATAATAATGTGTATTCCCAAGCAACGAAGAGAGTAAATTGAAGATGACCTACCACATCTTGATTCAATTATTCCAGATTGTATACCTATATCAAAATATCACACTATACCTCATAATTGTATAAAGTCATACTTTTTCCATTAAAATAATATTAATTAGAAATTTTTTGTAATTGTACTGCAGTCATATAAGAGATGAACATTAGGGAAAGCTAGATGAATACAGGAACTCTGTACTGATTTTGCAACTTCTTTGTAAGTCTAAAATTACTTCAAAATTCAAAGTTAAAAATATTCTTTGTCAGCAGTGTGGAGGAAGAAGTAGAGAAGAAGGCTGGAGAGGGGTATTGCGGTAATCTAGGGTGAGAAGGGTCTGAAGGCAGCCCACAGCTCTGGGCCTGGAGTCATGAGGGTGGATGAGGGAAATTTAGGAGTGAGAAAAGGCCGGATTCAGTGACTGACTGGATGGGGTTGGAGGTGGCGCAGTCACAGGAAAGAGGGTCGTGTGAAGGGATAACATTCCTCTTGTAGTAGGAGAAAGAAGGCTCATTTTGAAGCAGATGTGAGATAAGGCCAAATGTTTGGGAATACTTGAAGACACAGAATGACTCTCTCCCAGCGCAACGATAAGAGTTTCATGTGAAATACACCTTAGTCTCTAAGCCTCTATTGAAAGGGAAAACCGCACTGCTGCTTCTTTCAAGACCAGAGGAGGTGGCCAGGGCTGTTAATGTGAGCGCCACGGATATGTGTGAGCTAGGAAGGGTGTGGAAGTCACTAGACCCTATAGGGACTCACGAGTAGTTAGCTATGTGACGTTTCATGCAACTCTAAGTGCTTCTTTGAAAATGGTTGAATTTTTATAGTAGCCTGAAGAAAGATTCATGAAGTAAGAGCTGTGTAAAACTCCTGTCTCAGAGTGTTAGTTCTCAGTGATTCTTAGCCCTGGGTAAAATCTTTTAATGGTTTTTTTTTCTTTAGCATTTGATCAAGTGCAGTGACCCTAAAAATATCAGCTAGATTGAATAGAGAATTACTCTTCCTCAAGGAAGACATCTAGCAATATACCTTACAAAGTCATTGCTTGGGGATTATTTTTTTCTCCTTGAATCTGTGACTGGCCACATGATGGTAAAATAATTGACTGACTGTTAAATATTTAGATGTTTTGTTCCATATGATATTCCAAACTATTTTACAGGTTGAATTTACTGAATTAATCAATTATATTACTGCCATCCAATTATTTTGCTGTCAACCACTCTAAAACTGTGAATATCTCCAGTAACAATAATTCCTTTGAAATTTTTGATGCAAGTTGTCTTTTAAAGACTTTCTCAGAGCAGATAAAAATCCAAAAACATATTAAAAATGTCAATCCTATATTTCACATTATATCATTGGGTATATTTTTCAAATGATGTAGGAGGTTAGAGGAAAATCATTTCGGAAGCTATTGTTTCACAAATCTTAAGCTTGGTAATCAGAGGGACACGCAGCCAATTAAGAATGCTTTCTGAATGCATAGGACTGCAGATGCTATGAGGAAAGTGAGATAAAAAGAGAAAAAAGAAGAAATCAAAACGAAAGAAAGCATAGTCCTGGCCCTCCAGGATTTACAAAAAATAAGATGAAAGCAGAGGCGTCTACCTTATCTGTCTATAGGAGAAGAAAAACAGAACTTTGATTTCAGGATCAAGGGAAACACAAATTGAACATTTTGAAAGTGTGCATTTAAATGCTAAGTAGGAACATATTTAGAAGCATCCACCATAATAACACCTTCTTGTTTTCTGAGATGCGAAGATGATAAAATGCAATCACCAAGTGTCAGTCGGATGAAGAAGCCTCCAGGAAAGCTGCAGCCAACCAATGAGACTGGATTTCTCAATCTTGCTCCGGAAATGCCTGACCCAGGTAATGACTTTGGTTCACTACCCATGCATTGGAATAAGGAGCAATGGAAATTAATCTAATGGATAACAGAGCTGCTTGAATTTTAAAACCAGGAATGTCTACATTTCCATCTCCTAAATCATGGGCTTAAGGGAGACACTTCCTAGGCAGTCATACTGACAACTGTAGTGTTGAAACCTGTGTTGTCCTTTTCCTAAGCTTTAGAATGCAACTTGTGTGAAAGACTAACACATAAACTGGACCCAAACAGGCCAGGATGATTGTTTTCCTCTCTTTTCTCATTTTCTAGTCTCCCCAAAAAAGGTATAGTCTGCTTCTGGGTAGAAAAAAAGAAGTTTTCTGACAGGCCATCATGGAATGAACAGTAGGTTTTAATCTTAGTAGACTAAGGGTAGCTTTTGTTGTACACTTTTGACTATTTAACTGGAAGGCTTTCGAAAGGAAAACATTCAGAAGAACCCCCAGTGAGTCAGCAAAGACTTTGAAAAGATTGTGTATATTTTCTAAAGCATATTTTTCAAAAAATCATGTACAGGGGAAACGTGTAGAACATGTACCCACAAGAGCTAAATTTAAGGAGCGTGCGTACAGTGAGCACATGCGTAGCATATGGATGTGACTGACGGAAGAGAGCCTGGCCTCCATTCAAGACACCACTCACAGCAGATGCGCCGCCATAAATTCGAGCTACACAAGTCACATCCTTGCTGGACAGGTTCCAGTCAGTTGTCTTCAAATCTAAGTATGGTTGATGGACCCTAGAACGCCAGCTTTCATTTTGCTTGGAGGGAAGAGAAATTCCTGTATGAAAAAGCCAAACTGCCCACATCCTAGACAAATAAATACTCATTCATTCCTAACCCTTGAGAGTCACTGGCAAGCAAAATCCCTGGAAACTTTCATTTCAGCTTTTTTGTCTAACAGGTTTTGCCCAGTGTCTGTCATCTGATTTCAGTAGTGCAGCAAGGATGTCAGACTTGATAGAATGACCAAATATTCTAGGAATAAGTAATATGTCTCAAGCAGATTAAAAGACTCTGAGTATAACGTCAGAGTAACCCTTACTACTTTTCCTCTTATGGCAAAAAAGGCTGCTTTTATTTATTTGCTGGTGGGGGTTCACTTAAAATTGTGACATACAGGCTAAAACACTTTGACTATATTTGCAAAATATGTAAATATTTTGCAGTCCAACATCTTCCAACTCAAGATATTTGAATCACCTCTATATGGACCTAAAGGTGCACGGTTTTATTAGAGTTCTCTGTGGACTGACTCATTAATTGAAGGTTTTTATGGTATAAGGTGTAGGGTTCAGCCAGACCAGCCACTGGCAAAATGTATCATCCCAACAAATCATATTGAGGGTCGTCTTTGGTCCTTGCTGGACGGGTAGAGCAGATGTTGAAAGGAGGAGACTGCTTTGCAAAATTCTTTTGACAAATAATTTGATAACTTTGGCAGAATTGAATCTGCTAATTTGATTCTTAGAATTCTAGGTGGTGGAACAGTACCAGATGCCTCACAAAATATTAGCATCCATGTTTAACTGCTCTTCACATCCTGTTCACTCCTCTTTGGGGAGCTTCATATTAAATTAGATGCAGCTGCTGAATGAATGATTTCTTTCATGTTCCTATTTAGTATGAAAACAATAGCAAAAATAAACATTCAATTTCCCAACTTTTAGGAATTCTTCCTTTGGTTTTCACATCTTTTTTTTTTTTTTTAATGGGAGAGGGATGGTTTGATCAGGGTGCTGTTTTAGAGACCATCTGACTAAAGAGAGACAAAAATTCCCTGGAGAACTATTCATTTTACCTCCGGCAAAACTCACTAAATGTACCCAATGTGCTCATTTCAAAAATTATAAAATATAATATGTAAGTATATTATTACGCATATATACACAATAATGTATATGTATGTTTTTCTCTAATTCTGACAAGTTGGAATCACGTACTTAGTTCATTTGATGCATTTTAGTGAACAGGACATTGATCCTACTTTGTTTAATTTCCATTGCTCCTCATTTGTTGGCTACGAGGTTTCAAAAGGGAAGGAAAGCACTTGGAAAAAAATGGAAGGTTTATCTCTGGTCTGTATTACAGCTTCTGACATATTTTTAGATGCCCACCAGTAATGTTAGAGAAACTGTTGAAATGATCTTTGTGTAACAGCCATAATGAAGATTTCCACAGAGAGCTTGGGAGTGTACCTGGCACATGTGTCATTATCTGAGTTACTTCCGGTTGGTCATCGGAGAAGTTTAATTGTCCTTTCTCTCTTTCTCGTTCTCACCTTCCATCTGAGGTTTCTTTTCTTTTGTCACAGACTTGCAAGTTGCAAAGAATTGCTGTTTTTCAGTTCCCTGCAGTAAAATAATGGAAAAGAAGTCCACTCTCTTTGTGTCATTGGGGATAACTTATTTTGGAGTTTGTTTCCTGAGTTACATTTGCCTGTAGATATAAAGTGATCCGAAGGGCAAACCAGAAAGGAAAAGTGTGAAATAGGTTCTTTGTCTGGGGCCTTTTAAATCTCTGCAGTCATTAATACTTTATCGACTACCTGTAGAATAAGAAATGTCTGGGTTGGCTGGTTTTAGCAAAAAAGTTTCTTTTCCCTTCAGCCTGGTCTCAGTGGAGCTGCCATTTCCTGTTGACTGAGAGACAAGATGGAGTGCCAGATTGTCATTTAGTTAAACTCTATGGAAATGAGACAAGGGAATCTGACCATGACTACATCTTTGTATCCAGCAAAGGAACACAGGACAATCCAGGCAAGCTTCTGCCGGTCTAGGAGGACAGACTGTTGCTAGGTTTGCAAGAAGTGTTAGGCTGGCAGAGCGGGAGTCCCAGGAACACAGAGGTGACAAAACTCATGCATTCATTTATTTAGGCCTTTCATTATGCCAGAATTGAAGCTCTTCCTTTAAAGAGGTTGTCCTGAAGACAACTGACTGGCTTTCATCACTAAGAATAGGTGAACAGAAAAACAGACCCACCAGCCACCAGAGGAATGACCAACCACAAATCTCAAAAGTCTAGGGCAACTCCAGCTGTTTTCCTGACCTCTGCTTTTGTGCGTGCACACTCACACACTTGCACTCCTTTATCAACCTTGGTTTTACGATTCTAAATCACTTTCTTTTGTTGTTGTTGTTGTTGTTTATTTTGAGTTGGAGTCTCACTCGGTGGCCCAGACTGGAGTGCAGTGGCCGCTCCCGGCCACCGCAACCTCGACCTGCTGGGCTCCGGCGATCCTTCCGCCTCTGCCTTCCGAGTAGCTGGAACTACAGGCGCGCGCCGCCATGCCCGGCTAATTTTTTTTTTTATTTATTGTAGAGATGAGGTCTCGCCAAGTTGCCCAGGCGGGTCTCAAACCCGCAGGCTCAGGCAATCCACTCACCTCAGCCTCCCAAAGGCGCGGGATTACAGGCTGAGTCACCGAGCCCGGCCTAAATCACTTTGTATATGACTTAGAGAAAAGAGAAATGAGTCTCTCTCTCTTCAGTTCTTAATACTTAAATTGCCTAGTTTAAATGAAATTATTTTAAAAGCTAAATTTATTTAGAGTAGCAACAGCAACTTTTGAAAATGTGGAAAGTATCTTTTCAATCCTACAAAAGCATATTTTACATGGCAATTTTGCAGATATACATATTTTAAATGTTTGAACGCCCCAAAACATTTTTGTTAGTCTTTTCACATTTCCTCCTCACAGGAGTTATATGTAGAACAATGTGGACCTGACCGTGATGTGTACCTAGCCCTGAAGGTATATAATGTGGTTCTAGTTATGGGTGAGATTTTAAATTTCCAGAAGTCATCATGCTCAGAGTCCAATTTCTTTCAGGTCTCAGGCCTATGACTTCATGCCAGTTTGTCAGACTGCTGGTGTCGTATTGATTAATTAGTTATATTCTTAGGAACTTTTCAACTAATAGCAAATGTAAATTTATTAGATAGCTGGATGGGATAGGAATACTTAGCCTGTTGCCCAAGTTTCAGTTTAGCACTTCATTTTGCAAACTCTTTTACACTGCTATTTTTATAATTATTTCTCACAACGGTTCTGTGAGATAGGCTAACAACGTTGTCCGGAAGCTGTCTAGGTTTTAGAAAGGGTACATGATGTGTCCCAAGACAGTGGCAGGGCCAAGATTAGAATTCACAGTTCTTGGGGCTCAGGCAGCCACGCCTTGCTACCATCTGATGTGTCCGCCCCCTTCTTTTAATTATATTAAGTTTCAGTGCCATTGTAGAGTAACAGATTTAGATGAAATAACACTGTTTAGGCTGGGCATGGTGGCTCATGCCTGTAATCTCAGCTTTGGGAGGCTGAAGTGGGAGGATCACTTGAGGCCAGAAGTTTGAGACTAGCCTGGTCAACATGGAGAGACCCCCATCTCTACAAAAAAATTTTAAAAAGTGATCAGGTGTGATGATTCACACCTGTTGCCCCAGCTACTCGGGAGGCTAAAGCTGGAGGATTGCTTGAGCCCAAAAGGTCAAGGCTGCCGTGAGCTATGATTACACTCCAGACTGGGTGACAGAGTGAGACCCTGTCTTTAAAACCAAGATAAAAGGAAAAACGAAATAACGTTGTTTAAATGGAAGTGAAGTCCATGTCCATCACGGCAGAGGCTGGCATTCAGTGGACTGAGCGATAGCTCTTAAGGGGCTGGTGCTTCTTTTTCTTTGGAGAGCCCTAGAGAAATGGTTCCCTGTCAAGCTGTTTCTAGTCCTCTTCTGAGTCAGACTGTTTGAATTAGAAGATTATTTAGTTCGACTTCTTGTTTTGCAAATAAGGAAAGCCAGATTCAGAGAGATCAAGAAATTTGCCCAGGGCCTCAAGACAACATTGGGTCGGTATCAGGCGAAGAACCCAAGTCTCCTTCAGCACTCCATGCCCCGGCATGTGCTGTTTCTCATGGCTTCAGAGCCACTTTTCACGGAGTTAGAAAGTGAATGGAGGCAGTGGTCAGTGTCCACATGCTG